TTACTTCCTCCGGCCTGTAAGGACGAACCGGGAACAAGGGCAAACCCAAAATAATTTTCAGTCGCTTTTCAAGAAAAGACCAAAGACAGTGATAAAAATAGCTCTGGCCATCAAGCAGATTGTATTTACAGTGAGATTTAAAACATGCTTCTGGCATTAGATACTGAGTATCACAACTACGCCAGAAGAAAAACTACTTTTAAAATATTTCTAACTGGTTCTCATTCCCAGTGGGGCACCCAAATCCTTCCCTCCACCCATTCTACAGCCCCCTATCAAAACTAGTAGTTATTCCATCACTGCTGTGTAAAAAAAGAGGCTCACTATACACTCTCAAAGGAGAGACTTCTCTCACAGCTGGTTGTTTTGGTGGGTTAAGCCTCTGGGCTGAGGATTACTCTACATGTCAAGGTGTTCTGGCTGTATGAGGTGTTCTCAACGTACAGCAAGTGATGTGAGAGAGGAACTCTGCAGCAAACCACAATGTTACTGTCTAATTTCCTTCTGCGAATACAGGGAAAACACTCAGGAAGGCTGAAGAACAGATGTTGCAGGTGCCAGTATAAGCACATGACACATTCAGCCTCAGGAGACACATAAACTGGCCTAACTCTGTAGGATTGTAAAATGGAATGCCTGATCTAAGCATAAAGAGTAAATAAGAGGCAAGAAAACATCAGTTGGAGAAATCCCCTTTCTCCTACAGAATCTATATGGTTTCCACAGCACTAGGACAACACTGAAACGATTTCCGTTCTAAGGTTATGGAATAGACTGATCCTTTTGATGATCCTTTCAGTCTAGATGATAGCCTTGAATACCAGCTTATGAAAACCAAGGTTACTACAGGGGTCATGGCAAAGAATCAGATGAATAGCCTAAAAGAAAGGATCAATAGCAAGTTTTTAACTTCTGCAGTCCTTAAAAGAATCCTTCCCTCCCTTCTCCCCAAAAGTACCTCACCCGTTGCTGGCAATACCTTGGATTTCATCCGGAAGCCCTTTGCCAATGATGTGAAACAGTTCTCAACCCTACAAAAAAGGTAACTTTATAATCCTGAGCAAGCTTCTTGCAGAGCCTTTATGAACCGGGGAGCGTTGGCGGGGTCAGTGTTTTATTACCATGACCATGGCAAACATTCTTGGCCAGTTGTGCGCATTCTGTTCCTGAAGCACAAGAAATACAAGGTGATAAGCAGCAGTTCCTTTGGTTCCCACCTTTTTGTGTCTTACCTCTCACGTTTTAATTTGTGCTGTGCCAGAGTCTTTTGCATTTCAACATACATACGTGTACGTGCACACCCGCCTCGGGGGCTTGTAAAACCGTAGGGGGCTATTTTGACGTTTTCTTTCTTCTAGCCAAGGAAAATAGCAAACAGTTATCATACCTTTCCTATTACCAAACTTACAATATCATTATGGTAGAACTGTATCTTACACTGAAAGTATTTTTATTTTACAAAGTAAAATCAAGCTAATATGAAAATGAGACTGCCATCCAGACAAATCTGAAGTTGGGTTTTTTGCATGTGTTAAAACACAAGAACAATGTGAGTGTGGACATTCTAGTTACTGCTCTAGTTAAAAAAAATAAATCTGAAATAAGGATGAAAATGCCTTTTTTTTTCTCTAATCTGACTTCTGAAAGAACACAGTTCTGAATGAAGTCAAGGTAACAGCCCTGTAACTGGATGAAGGAAAAAGTACTCTTAAAACAGAGTTAGTTCATGAAACTGAAGTCTCCTGATGAGGAGGCTAAACCTGAACGGATTTAGCAACCTTTATAAAAAAAAAAAAGTTAAAAAACCCCCCAAAAAAACAACCAAGGTTAAATGCAGAGATGCACGGGGAACAATCCCTATTGCATCTTTAGGAGCTGAAACATGAATTAAGTTATCCCTCCCTCTGCAGCACAAGAGGCTGACTACTTTCCAACATTCTGTTTCTTTTCCCCAAAAGGCTGCTTTCAAGGCTTTAGCTTGTTTTTGAGTTTACAGGTTGAACAGTTTCACTAGTATAAAGGTATACAAACTGCTCACATACAAAAACCTCCAAGTCCTTTATTACTGTTTTCAGGATGTATGTGGTACATACAATTAACATTACACCAGCTACAGGAAGTCCTCTGTTGCAAGAGGTACTTCAAAACAAGTATCCCAGAGCACCAACATAGACACACACACACAGACACTATAAAATCACTTTGAAATGATTTCCCCCCCCACTTTTTTTTTTTTTTTGTATGTTTGTTTCCTTTTATTTAACTTGACAGCTAGGACTTCTGAGCCATTGGAGATTCTGGCTGTGGCAGATCTCCTAGTGCAGTGGCACTGGTTTAAGAAGGCTACTTCAGACACTGGGAGGTCAGAAGAACAAGAACTCAACGGGGTAACAAAGCGGTGTCATTTTCAATGCTTTCAAGCACAGCTGCTGTCTGGATCGATACCTGTATGTCAGCCTCCTGGTGTCCCCTGCAGAATCTTCTCCTGCGTTACAGGTGCGTACACACCTCGTGTACGTTTACCCCTAAGCTGCAGAACAGGAGGAGAGCACTGTCCGCCACATTGCGTCACTAGTTCCAATTAGTAGGCACTGACACATCAGGAGAGTTAAACAAATGGGACTGGAAAGACTTTAAAAAGGGATGAGCCTGAGAGAAAATCTTTGTTCATTATGACAGATCAGTGACAATCCCTTCAGGTCACCAGGCTTCACATGTCCATCTGTTGCCATCTGTTCCCTAAACTCATCCTTTTTATTCAGATGCTCTGCTTAAAAATAAACCCAAACTACAAAAAGGTTCAACTCCATTCTGTACACATTCTCCACTTCCAGAGTCATTATTCTGGCTTTAGACCTTCTCCTTTCGCTTTAATTTGGACACTTTCTTGACAGTTCCATTCTTGTTTAGAAGCTTCAAAACACGATCCTTGTGATCCAAGACCTTTAGCATGGAGTCTCGAGCCTCATTGATTTGATCCATCACAAGTTTACACCTCTGCATATTCCCCTGAAATGAAACACTGTTGTCATTAACAGCAGACCGTCTAGCCTGTACCTTTTCCTAATACCACTTGTAACTGATGACACCAGAAACAGGAAATGTACCCATGTGATTTTTTTTTTTTCTTTTTAAAGCCAGCTTTAGCTCTCACTAACTGCAGTGAGATATTTTGTAATTAAGGGTAAAGCAGTTCTGCCGGGTTGAGAGGAACCTACCTGTATCAGTTCATTGATCCGATGCAAGTCGTCATCGGTTGCTGCCTTTTTCTTGGGAATGAGTCCCTCCTGCAGGGCTGTCAGTCTCTCATACACATCATGCTCCAGGTTTGTCTAAAAGACATTAGCACTTCATGAGATGGTTCACCGCTAGGCCAGAAAACATTTGCCCGCATTAAGAGAGCTAACACAGAGAAATTGATAATCTGTTCCCCTCTCAGCTGCTCATGTTAGTAATTCAGAAGATGGAGCCTCTGATGTAGAGTGTGGCACTATTATTCGTACTAACATCTTATTTACAGGATTGCTCCACTTCTGAACAAACATGGATCCTAACCAGAACTGTTGCCCCTATTTCTCACAATACTATTCCAGGAATGCAGAGGTTTTGGGGAGTTTGGTGCTAGAATGCAGAGCACCTACCTCACCCCCAACCTGAAACAGAAGCATCCAGGAATGTGGATCAGTGCTGCCTCCTCAGATCAGCCGCACCATCCCAAACAGACGCTTCTTCAGACCTGTGCATCAGCAGGAGGGAGTTGCCAATTTTGATCATCTGTACAAAATACATCAGCTCTTATGTCTGGATCAAAATCAACACTCTAAGTTTCCAAGCCACTTACGCCACATTCCTGAGAAAGGGGAAAGCACGTCCCACTCCCTTTGGGCACTACACACCAGCTCCTTTACGGTATCCCAATGTCAGATGACCATGTACTGAGTTTGTAAAAACATCCTCCTGTCTTACACAACTCCGCGTTCCCCCGTGTCGTAGGAAGCTGCCGAGCCCCATTCACCTACCAGCTGTAGTAGCTGTGCCGCACAGAGATGGACCTTCCACCCTTGTGCACGACAGGATACACCCTTCTGATTGGCAATCTCCTGCAGCATAGCCTTCTTCTCTTCTGTCACCAGGAAACACAAAGATATGTTATTCAAATTTCAAGAGTTTGCCAGGCCTCTCTTCTCAAAAACATTAACCCAACAACTCTGGCTCTCCGTACATCTTAATAAACGAGAGCGAGCAACGTTTTGATTGGGATAGGAAAATAGCTACCCAGCTGCCATGTATCTGACTGCTGCTCTCACTTATTAACAGGTTATCTGTATTTCCAGAAAAATGATATCCTGTTTCCCCCCACCCCATTAAAAAAAAGGTAGTGCTCAGTGTTTCAACACCCTGTGTGAAAAAGTAGAGAGTCCATTCTTTACCACTGAAATACATATCTACTCCCTCCTTGATGTGTTTACGCAGTTGTGAAAACCCAGTCTGCTTAAAAATGCTAAGATATTAGCTAAAAAAGTCTAAAAAAAAAAAAAAACAAACCCCAAAACCCAGTATCTGATCTCCATTTCCCTCATATTAGGAAAAAAAGTCTCCTTTAAAAGTCCATTTGTTAGTTGACAAGACTAGTTACACTAACTCTAGAACATTTTTGATTAAAACTGGCAAGTTTGTTAGGTAGTAAGAAAATCAGAAAACTAAACTGTAGCACATCACCATAGCATGTCCCTGCGTTAAGGATTCCTTTCTTTACTAAGTTTCTATCACTGTACATAAATACATTTCTCAGTAACCCCATGATTTTTTCCTTTCATGAAATGATAGCTAATTAATTCTATGTAGTGTCCTTCCCTTCTTTCTTCCTTTATCTTGAGAGTGGAAGAGATTTAGGCAACATCTCACTAATGAAAGTCATTAGCTTACTTGATCAACCCTTGGTTTCCAAATTACAATCAAAACCTTTTTGTGGGATTGCTTACAACACCAGCTGGCTAGGAGTGCACCTAAGATACTCTAACAGGTACACGGTTCATCCCGGATGAATGAAACTCTCAAACTACAAGAAGCAGACTCCTTTTACCCGGACATCACTGTATCTCTGAAAGTGGTGGTAAGCAGCTTTCCAAGGATTGCGATAATGCCGGAGCAACGTGATAGGTGGCCTTGGACGCACAGGGACGTATCTTACCCCTTCTTCATCTAGAAAAAGATCCAGTGACAATGGTATTATTCATCAAGTAGGTGAAAGAAGGAGATCAGCATGACACAATAACTCCAGCAGAAGATGGGTAAGCACTACCTCATACAAAATGACGCTTTATATGTCAAGATAGGTTATTTACCCTGAACGTCACTACACAGAAGGTGCTGCGAAACTGATACTTGGATTCTGTAATATAAGTATTTTCAAAGCAGGAGAATGATAGAGCACCTTCTCTGAGAAACAAGAGGAAGCAAAAATACAGATATTTGAACAGGAAAAGAGACATTAGAGGTGACATTACCTATATACTCCTTTGGAGGTGACTTGCGCTTCTCTGCCTTCACCAGCAAACTTTTGGCAGTGGATTTCTCATCATCAGTGCTGTTTGTTTCCATCATGTCCCCTTCCTCTGTGGAGATGACATGCTGCTGCTTACGGGGTTTCTTCCTCGGGGAGGCACCAGGTGGCAAATCACTTGGAGGCATTGAGAGGTTGTTGGCCAGCAACGCCAAAGACGGAGACACAGTACTTGTAGTCAAAAGAGGGAGAGAACCCAAACCATGAGTGGCATAAAGGTAACACACTAACACCGACTGAACGCTACCTCCAACAGTAGTTGCTGTTTCAGCACCTCATGAGGAGCGTGGACTCCACTGTACGTGCACTTCAGCTCCATGCATGTAGAAGGCCAGATATTAAGCCAGCAGCAATTGCTAGGACAAACCTATACCCTATGATCTTTAGTGTCATGTACAAGACCATAAAGAATGAAAGCAAAGACAATTGTCCCTCAGGTCCTTCACATTCAAAGCTTATGTTAATGGAATGCTACAAAAAGGAATCCATGCTAACATCTGTCTTGTGTCCCTGTAAAAAAGGTATCTTTGTGTGTCCATCAGCACAGGTCACAGTCATTAGCAAGCAAGTCCCTTTCCTCTTTGTAATGCAAGTAGAGATTCACATGCAATCAAATCGGGACTGCAGCACTCCTTGCAAGAGTCTACTTGTACTGCCATGTCAGCAGCAACTGCGCCAACCAACGCGCTCTGAAGTTGGGCAGCACAGCAGCAGGTAGCTTGAGGGAACGCTGCGTGACCTTTGAAGGGAAAAGCTCAGTCAGTCACAACTAAGGCTGCAACAAAAGGTTTCCGGGATGGGATCTCTTGACAGTTTGGCATACCCACAATCGCCAGTAAGAGACAAAAGAACCCTGAAAAGCCTGTGCTCCAGAGACATCTGTAGCAAGCAGCTGCTTTCATCACAGAAAAACATACAGCTTTAAGGAGAGCGATGAAATCGACAACTAAACCAGAACTCTCATTAACACACAACCCATGAATGTGGGATGTATTCGTATCATTTTGTCACTGCATAGTGCTTGACCTGAGATCCACAAGGATCTGAGTTTTACTGAGCATGCCGTCTGATAGCAACTATGGCCAAGCTGGATAAGTAAGGCAATATAATGAGTATTTTTAAAAGTTCTAGAGAAAAACATCCATGAATCACAGGAGAGCCCTATGAAGTCCTACTCCAGTCACTAATTTGTCACATACAAGAAAGGCCCTCAGACCTGAACAGCAGGATCCGTGACAAAACTGAAGTTAACTGTAGTGATTCATAATATATTGGTCCTGCTGCTGAGTGTGTACGTTTTAAGCAAGGAATTCACACAGACTATTTGGAGTTGGATCATTTTAACACGAACAAAGCAGTCACAATAACAAGTGATCGTGGGAGATTAAGGAGAAGGCTAAGAAGAACTTTATGAGCAATAAGGCATACGGGAACAGAACCCTTTGACTGGTATTCTGTGCTACCATGAAAGAAATGCAATTTCATTTTCAGGATGGAGGTGTTGAAATCCTCCCAATTTCTACACTGTCTCAACAACAAAAGCAGCAACCTGATGATTAACAGCCACCTACCAGATACCGGTCGCATTATGTCCATAGGCTCCACTTCCTCTTTGATTTTTATCTCTGGTACGGCAGGACCCAGCACCGCTGACAGGGCACCGCTCATGGTTGATGGAGGAGCAGGTGTTGCCACAAGCGTAGCAGAAGTTGGTGGAGCAGGCGGGACGGCTCCTGGAATGGTGGACAGTGCTGCTGCAGGCTGTGAAGTGGGACTGGCTGCCGCGATGATTGTTGGAATGGCAGAGGGAGGCTGCTGGGAGGTAGGGGGGACTGCAATGGTGGGCTGCTCGCCGCCCTGGTTAGGCACTGCCTCCATAGACACAGTGACCGGAGTGGCCATGGACACATGAATTTCAGGTTTTGGCTTGGCACTGTAATGTCAAAAGAGCAAAACAAGCTGAAGTTAACTGCATGTCAGTCACAACCGCCTAGACACAGTGAACAAGCCAAGCTGCATTCAGACCGTCCAGTTTTTCCTGCACTTGCAATGTGCAGGAAAACACACATTAACACCTGACTCAGTAACATGTGTAACAACAGGAGAAGGTGTCATCTCAGTTACATTTCCTCCTCCACTCCCATTCTAATCTTTTGTATTTATTATAGATACTATTTTCTTCCACTCTGTAACAAGCAAATCTCATGACTAATTCCAGGTAACTTCAGAATGCTTGTAAAAGGATCAAAATAGTTTCACACTGCAGACAAAAGGAACTTTTACCCAAAGCTGTACTGCCCCCCGTGCTCTGTTTGCAAGAGCTCCCAATATGGAAAACAGTTATAAAACAATTAATTGTAAAGACACTGAACTCAACTGAAGCAGGGTAGACGCTTCATTTACCTTTCTTCAGCATTAATTTTCAAGTATTATAGAAAAAAAAGTTTCGAGGCCTATCCTTTACAACAGCAGAGGGGTTTTTGTTTGTTTCTAATGCAAGCTCATAACCACATTTTTCAGAAGGTTACTGCCTCAGCTTCACAACAGCAGAACCAGTCATATCTGTTCAAAGTCGTCACGCTGACAAATTCAAAATAGATTAAGTTTCCCAAAAGAAAGGAAAATGCTCCAACTGCCAGATAATACAAATCAAACAAATATCATTAAACTATTATGATGCAGTTAGTTGTTTCCTAAAGTCTTACCCAGCAGGCCTTGGTGATCCAGATGTGCTTCGCATGGTACTCTCGACACGTGTGCTAGCTACTTCAGGTGGCTGAGGTGGAATTAAGCTTTTCCGGACTGCCAGCCTGCAAGAGACAGACAGATCCAAGATTCCCACCTTACTGATGCAAAGATAAATACCACTGAGAGCAAAGAAATCGACCCTTTCTTGCTCAAACCCAGGTAGGAGTTACAGCTGTATCATTGCACTCTGTCTTCAGTATAACTGATTTGCTACCGAAAGTCTCATTTTATTTTTCAAATTAGATGTTAAGTTTTATTTTCTTTAAAGATAAAGATTAGTTGCTCTGGCCTAGTCACACCTCATTTAGGGCTTCTCCAAGAACACCAGCTTTACTTTCATCCTGCCGGTCAGAGCGTCTGAGACTGCCAGACTCCAACAGTGGCTGTGCCACTGTCCTCCACTGCTATTTTGAGACAGAGCAAATAATCTGGAACTAAACAGCGCTCAGACAGGCATCTGCTTCGTTTAGCTGGACTAGACTGTAAAAGCCTGACTCCAAGACCTCAAGCCCCGAACGTGGATGTTAGGCAGCACAGGGCTGAATACAGAAAAGTATTTTAGGGACTATTCAGTCTCCTGTGGGGCTGGAAGTCAAACTGTTGTCCAAAATAATCAACCTCTCAAATGGAAACATTCTTTAGTGATCTACCTCTGCTTCTTTAATTTCTGTTTCAGTTTTATAGCCTGCAGCTTCTCTGCCTTAAAAAAAAAAAAAAAAAAGTTTCCCACCCAAATAATAAAAAAAATTAAAAAATGCAATTTTAGTCTCACAGGACATATGAGTTCCCAACGTTTTCAGCCATTAGTCAGGAGGAAACGCATTGGTAATTCTAAAGCCTCTTTATTCAGGCATTTAAAACTAGACAGACAACGTAAAATATTTTAAGAGTTTAAGTTACTCCCTCCCTTTTTCCTAATCAGATTTCACAGTAGGGTACTAATCCTCCTTTCTACTCATCCACATACTCTTCCAAGAAAAGCACTGAAGACAAAGCACGGAATTCTGATTTTAGTAGATTATGAACTCTTTTTATTAGACTAAGCAAGAAAGCCTCAAATCCACTTTCCCTCAAAAGGTCACTTTCAAGAGCTAGGAGATGAACTGTCCTTCTCGTTTTATTACTGACAGTAAGAGGAAACTATATCCTACCCTAGGAGAGGAAAAGAAGTGTGTTTCACAGATCAGCAGGTTACTCACAGCCACTGCCAACTGAATCATCTGCTAGAACTTGTCTCCACTGAAGTGGAATTTAGCCGGGCTAGATTGCACAGAAGTGTCATTTATGTGTCACCTTCAGTTCTACTCACCCATCTGTGGTTGGTTTCTTCCGGAGGATGCTTGGGCGCGGGGAAGAGCCCTGGGCTGGTGCACTGGCACTGGCACTCTGGCTATGGGTTTGCACAACTGTGGTTGCTGCAGAAGCAGTGTTGAATGTGTTGCTAATAGGATTGGCTACAATGGTGGCTCCATCTGCCAAGACTACTGCTAGGAAAGATGGACATCGACACAGCAGAGACAAGAACAGACACAGAGAAGAAAAAGCAGCGGTTACTTAAAGAAATTTGATGACAAAGCAGGTGTTTGCAGTGCACATGTTGTCCGTGCTCCCTCGACTCTCAATCTTTAATTGCAGTGCTTTCAGGCCACTTTGCAAGCAATACCTTTGCTACAAGCAATCTGATCACTGAACCTTCTGCAGGGAAGATGGAAACTACTTCCTGCCTAACAACTGCTGCTAGGGAAATAATCTTTTCCAGACAAAATGGAAAACGCAGAAATCGCTAGGGAGATCACCAACACAACCGGGTCAACAGAGTAACACTCCTGGTAGTACCTACGTGGCAATACATGCCACTTGTAAGCAAGCACCATCAGCTGTGCTTGTGTTCTGACCTTCTGCCAAAGCCTGTTTGGCCAACTAACTGATGCAGAGCATTTAGACGGTCAGGAAGTCACCACGCAATATGCCTGCCAGCTTTGCCACAGCATATTCTCTTGGTTGCCGCATCCCATTTCTTCAGTAAGTTGTTGGGGTTTCATCAGACCAATCGCTTTTAATGAAAGATGGTTTCTATCACAGTCCAAGACCAGGCTACCAACTGCTGAAAGTACCTGGCCATATTTTTAATTGCTACTGTGGTCTAATGCATAGCCAGAAGAGTTTGGAAAACATCATTTTCTTGTAAATGACTTTCCCACAAGGCCTTACTGAAGAGAATTGTTTAAGCTCAGGCACTACCAATCTTTTCCACTGAAGCAGCCCATTCAAGGCTATCCACACACTCCACCCGGTATGCTTGAAAAATATAAATTAAGAAATAAGTAAAAAATATTGGCTGGGAGAATATGCACGAGTGTATTTAGTGTCCACTACTGGATCTTTTAACAAGATCATTAATCAGAGTAGAAGAGAAAAAACAAGCCAGATTTGTAGGACAGAAGCTCAGATGCTCCGACTAGGTCCAAAGCACGGACCTGGTTGCTCTTACCTGAAGTCTTGGTGTCGGCTTGTGGCTGCTGAGCACTGATTGGTGCTGGCTGCAGTCCCTGCGTGCCAATTGGTGCAGCGGGGTGGAGTCCTTGCGTCCCAATTGGTGCCGGCTGGATCCCCTGTGCACTGATTGGTGCTGGCTGGATCCCCTGCGCACTGATTGGTGCCGGCTGGATGCCCTGGATGTGACGGGCATGAGACGCATCTACAGTCATCAGCTGCATGGGGTTGAGGTGGACAGTGGAGGCCACTCCGACGCCAGTCTGAGCCGTGATGGCCGAGTTGGGCGCCTGGGCTGAAACTGGGAGCAGCAACACGGACACCTTGTCATGCCTACCCAGCGGTAGTCGGTTCCCCCCAGCACCTCTCACTCAAATATTTACTTTCAAAGACTTTTTTGCTTTGAAAAATCCATTTGCCTGCCTGCTTGTTGCAGTAGCAAATTTGAGAGTGGAGAGACCAGATTGCCAGAAAAATGAAACTACTCTATTTCCACTCCATTTTCTATTTAAAATTGCAACAAGAGAGAAAAGATCATGTTTAAGTCCACTTTTGGTTTGACTCAAATTATATTTCTTCTAACGATATATCTAACCAGCTTCTAATCTCAGAAAGCTGTGCACTATTTTTGCCTAGTATCTTATTTTACAATGCTTGTAAGTACCAACACTTCACATTTTCCCCATTTAAAAAAAAAAAAAAATTAGAAGCCTAAACCTTTTCTTTTCAAAAGAGAGCCTTTCCACAGAGCTTATCATTGCATGAATTAAAAAACACCAAACCTTTGACTGTACAAAAGCAAATGGAGACTCAAGTGTAAGTACCTTAAAACAGGGCTTACTTCCTTCTCCTCTTTCCCCAGCCATGTAGTAGTAAAAAAAAATTAAAAAAAAATTTCCTTAGCGCAAGTGGACAAACTGTTCTGCAGTCGAGTACAATCTTATCTGACTCAGAACAGAGCTGGCAATTATAGGCTGGATCCCATAGCTAAAATGAACACGAAATCTTTTTGTGGCAGAACGATGTTCCCAATGAAGCACCTTTTCTAAGAAGTTCAATTCATTCACTTGAATTTACAGCTCTGAGCAACTATGATTCCATCTTTCCAGACTTACTATATGGCCCATTACACTTCTCCCAGGCAGCATTTAACAGAGCTGTTGGACTACCTGCAGCTCCTGGATTTCCAGATTTCCAGTCTTTACAGAACAGTACCACGATTTCTGCAGCCATGCACGGAATGCAAGTGTGAACTTGCCAACAATGGACTTGCTGGCTAACAATGGAGAGCCCTCTCATCGCAGAACAAGCTGTTTTCCTCTTTGTCACAGGATTTCGATCAAATTCTTGTGCTGACAAGACACCCTGAACAGCTGTGAAATGCCCGAAATCTGGCACCAGGTCCCTGAAAATGGCTTCTGTATAAAGAGTGGCACTCTTCGCAGAACACCTTATGTGAAACACTCTCGTTGCAGAACTTTCTATCCAACAAAATCCTTATGGGAGACTATATAAACACAACCAGCATTTCAAAAGCCAAAGCCAATGCTCTTCCTCAAAATTCTGTATTAACACTCCGTACCTCAGTGATCTTTTTAAAAGTCTCCCCTGCACTTTTACCTAAGCCCCCACCTGGCTGGGCTTAGCACAGGTGCGTGTGCCTCCTGATACCTTGAATTGTCTGCTTTGAGTTGTCACTAGTTACTGCCACAATTAGTACCTTCAACTGATACTTCAAGTCAATTTAACAAGCAAAACGTCTCTGTCAACACGCTCCTGCTTAATAACCTGCATTTGCTTTTTTAAAATGAGCATCAGCCCTACCATCACACCACTATGCTACCCAAATGGAAACTCCTGACAGTCTGCAATCACCAGGGGCTCTGTAACCACTCCTCAACCGCAGCCGCCAACACCAAGTACCACCACTCGCCTGTACATTCTCCTTTAAAACCTTCAACCAAAGTGCAGGAAGGCACAACAGAAGCTCACCCATCCCTTTTGCAAGTCATTTAATTATCCTGAAGCCCACCTCAAATCCTGATAGGACATAGTCAGGACTTGCAACTTTTCACTGGAATTTCAATGACACAAAGAACAGGCCCCAGTAACTCAATTCTCTGTGTGAACTTTCCCACTCAGCAAATGGGCTTTGCCACCTCCAGGCCCTTCCAAATTCTCTCTGTACTGCTCAAGGGTAACATGCTGCCTGCAGACACAGATGTTCCATAAAAATCCAAATCACGCGTATTCCTAGGGTTTGGATCGTGGATATTATCACATTAGAGAAAACAATCCTAAACCACTCAGTTTTACATAAAAGTGCTCCAAATTTTGGCACAGAATGACCTAAGTTTGGGCCAACTATGTGGGCTCACATTATGCATGATTTTTTGACTGTCTGCAAATCACTGCAACAGTTCAAATACATTAATTGTTCCATTATTTTAAACAAAAGCAGTAAAGCAAAAGTGTGCAATGCAGCTTCCTTTTTCCATTTTTGATTCAGGTTTCTCTCTCAAACTGTGCACTCATGGGGAAAGAGATTAAAATGGGCTTATTGGAATACCAGGGAAAGAAAATTCCTGAAAGATCTGGTTTGGAGGAATTGAACTGTTTTGATTTGTAGAATCAAAATTTCTACTTATAGAGATGCAAACCTTTGGATATTAAACGTGAAACTCCTGAGAAAACTATTATTAGCTGTGTTTAGTAGAACTCTGAAATAGTTCAATATCCCTTGCCCACGAGTATTCTCCTCGGCCAACAAGTCAAAGACTTTTTGTGACAAATTGTCAGAATCAAGCACAACAATCTCTTAGCTTCTCCCACCACTGAAGCTCATACATAAGCTAACAAGTGAACAAGCTTGTCTTACCTGGGTACTGGCGAATGGTGGACACCGAGCTGGTGATGGGGGTATAGGTGTGCGCAGTCAAAGGATAGGCGGAGGGCGGGTACGTTGGTAAGAAATACTGGAACTGGACAGGCACCGACTGCCTACAGGCATCAAAGAGAGCAAGTATTACATACACACCATTTCAACAGTTCATCTTCAACCCCTGCCTTTGGCCACTCCCTGAGTTTTGTAATCTCAACTGTTATGATTAATTCAAAACTATCAAATCACCCCCATCCCAGGGGTTTTTAAAGCACCTGATTTCCAGCGTATCAGGACCTAGAAAAGCAGCAAGGCACTCAAAACCGACTCACGCACACTCTCATTCATAGAGCTGTTATCTCCCCACCTGTTGTCATTTCTGGTTTCCATTGCTACTGGGTTTGGAGATGCCCGGTGACTGGAGAGGGGTATGAGATTACTCCTCTCTGCTGTGTAATCAGACTGGATCCGGGGAGAAGTATGCGTGATTTGCTGAGGAACCACTTTAGCTACATAAAGACAAACATGTAATCAGTTAACAGTCAAAGGAAAAGTTGGTAGACACTGCAAAGGCAAGATTAATTCTCCTGGCAAAAACCCCAATACTACTCCCCCCTCCAAATAAAACAACCACCCCATCTCCAGATAACTTTCCATCCACAGCGATGATAGTTTTCCTCAATAGAAAGAACAAACAAGGGAAATGAAGCATTTTTCATCAATTTGTACCATAATAGAAGGACATAAAAAAAATGCATATATGTTATACTTGCTAACAGATTAAGTTACTCCAGTGCTCAAATGAAAATTTGGGGTTTTTTGGGTTTTGTTGTTTTTTTTTTTCATAGGATCAGCTCAATCATTTCTACTGCCAAGAACTTAATGATCCAAGTTTCCAAAACAGAACTTGACAGAGACCAAGGGAAAGGAGACCAAAGCAGACAAGTATACATAGACAGAGGCTAAGGAAAGAAAGAAAACACCTACAAAAGCTTTACAGGAAACACTGACATATTAAGATACAACTTTACTCTTTGGAAATTTACAACAGGGAAAGATATTACAAGATTTCAAAAGAACAAGGAGGAGGTCAGAAGGAAAACAGTGATGAAGAAAAGGAAACTCAGGCAGTTCTGTAGGAAACTTCTCAGGCAGATTCCATATCCAGGCAAATAAGCTTCCCACCTTTAGATCTCAGTGTTTTACCTCCAAATGAACACACCACCCAAACTCAAGGCTACACCTAATGCCTCAAGAAGCCAAGGAAGGAACTTAGAAAACCAACAATGAAAGTCGCGTTCTATCACCAAGCCGTTAGTATATACAATGCAGGTTCTGAAATGCCAAAAGGCCCAAGTTCGTCTAAAAATTCAATTGAGTAAGTTAATGAGCCATTTTATTACCTCCTCCTCCTAGAACATCTATTTCTTCCTGGTATTAAAAAAAGCTATGCCACAGTGGACCTATTAATTGGTTTCTCCCAGCTTGAACCGACTTTCTTCCCCTCGTTAATTTGCTAACATGCACAAACACTACTAGCATAAACAGAAAATTGAAGCATCAGTTACACATTCTTCTTAAAACTGAAATCACTCACCAACTGGGATGTTTGAGGTCGTGACAGCCGTAGCATGGGAAGAATGGGAGGGCATTGTCATGGTGACAATGGTGCTTGTAGGCGCTTGGGTGTGAGACACAGAACCTAAAGAAAAAAAAGAAAAAAAATAAACCCCATACAAGATCTTTCTGCAGAGCCCTATCACACCAGCGTATCTATATCCAAATAAAGAGGGCAAAAACCCCAACCCGGACAACCTCCCTGAAGAACCAAGCAATTCCTCTCCTGAAGTCTGCTCATGCACTTCCAAATGCATGAAGAAAGAATTCCTCAAAAGTAATCAGGTCCCATCGTCAAGGAGGAAAACCAAAAAACCCCAAACCCCACAACTCTCCTACAACACCATTATGGATACTCACCAGCTGTGGTTGCTGAAGCAATTGTATTCGTTGCCAAAATAGGTGCCACTGTTGCTGCTGCCACTGGAGTACCAGTACTGAAAATGGTTTTCTATGAAAAGAAAACCTTCAAGTTAAGACTAGTACATTTAAAATATTCACTTAGTATGGAATCATGCTGCCTTGTCTGTAAAGAACATGAACTTCTAACCTAATACTAACTCTTTTCCTGAATTTAATCTTAGCGCTCAAGATAGAAACAAAAGAGATGTCTAGAAGAAGCAAGACAGTTTTTTTTCTTCTTGCATTTTACCTGAGCCATGGTGTGGAGCTGTGGCTTCTGTGTTCCTATAGCTGGGTGAGAGGGTAGTGTAATCCGAGTGGCCGTGTCCCTCGGCTGTGCAGGCCGCTGAATGCTAATAGCTGCAGAGGGCGGGTGCTGCTGGATAGACAGGGTGGGTCGACTGGCAAGAAAGAGAAATAGTTGTGAAAGTAACGATGTGGATACTAAATATGCAAAATAAGATGCAGGGACATGCATCAGGCCTTGGTCTCTTTCTCTTTGAAAGCAGCACTGCTGTCAAATGTATGGTCAAATTTCTTACGCTGCTTTAGCTACTTTGGTCTGTCCTCATCTTCCATGAGCACCCAACTAGGAGGGCAGACATCAATAATGTGTATCAGTTCATAACAAAAGACTTTCTGCCAGGGATGCATTTCAACGTTCATATGTCATTTTTTCACTGTCTTCATAAAAAAGATGGGCTGAATGAGCCACAAGTTGCTACAAGAAGCAACTTTGCAAGAAGCAGGAGATCACAAGTGCTTTATTAAGCTTTTTCTTTCTTAGACCACAGAGCAGCGGTTCACATTGATAGTAACTTTTATTCACAGAACTGAAAGTATTTGCACTGTGCAAGCATTACTATTCATGTATTATATCGTCCTACATCTAGAGGATTATCAGCTCTGGATGTTTAACACGTATGCTTCCCCGTCCTGCAGCCTCTGTAAAGTCAGAGTACTGTAGATTTCAAAGCACCTTTACCTGAGGGTTGATTCCGTAGCATGCGCTGCTGTTGTAGTTATAACAGGGGACTGAGCTCTTGTGGCCGAGACAGTTGCCACCACAGCCGGAGGAATAGTGCTTGAGGTTGTCACGGGCGGACGAGACTGTAAGAGTCAGAAAGAGACACATTCAGAAAAGAAATTCTGCTATTTAGATAATAACTAGGAATTACTTGACTAAAACTTTTTTCTAGATCTTATCTCTAAGTTTTGGCCTTCTAAGACATTTCCAGTCTTTCTGACTTGATCTGCAAGCTCCTAAGCAGATCTGCCCTGGTTTTCAAAGCATATTTGTCATTGAAATCAGTAACCAACAGAGTTAACAAGACCAGATCCCTTGAAGGTCTTTAGGGAAAAAGCCAAAGGTCAGCTCTCTTCAGAATGAAAAGAAACTCTGATCCAAGTATACACAGGAAGTCAAAGGTGATTACATTGGGATCCTAACCAAAAGCACAAAGTAAGGATGAAGGGTTAAACATCTTAACACTAAACTAGTACTGTTGTAGGGAGACGGTATCTACAATCTTCTCCTTAAACATGTATCTAAGCTGAGAAATACAGAAGCATATTAAAATTAGATTTTTTAAAAATTCTTTGTCAATATATATATTTAAGAATAAATCAAACAAGCATATCATACCAGACCTTTCAGACTTAAAACTTGAGTATATCTAAACTAAATCCTCTCCCCAGTTTCGAAACACTTTGGAGACCCTTAAAAACCCTATTTCTGGCATCAAGTCTACAAAGGAGATAAAACCACAGGACTCATGCAACTATTTCACTACTTGCTATTAGAAACTGGTACCCAAGAAACAGAACTGAGAGAGAGCTGACGGTAGCCCCAGCCCAGTAAATACACGATTACAAGTGCCAGGAAGAATCTGGAGCCAGCAGTCAGCGTTCTGCAGAGCTGC